ATCCAGCTTCATTGGTTGCTAGGATGCCAGTGTCTGGTGCCCGAGACTTGCACTGTCAAGCAGAGCTCATTACATTGTCAGGGTTTTGTGAATAACCCTGTATGTCTTCTTGTTAGCTGTGTGGTCGAACAGCGGAGCAGAAAAGGGGGTTTCTCTGTCGACCATGCTGGCTCAACATTAACACCACCTAGAAAGATGTCCCATCTTTCTTGGTGGTGTTGTTGTTGAGCCAGCATGGTCATCAAAGAGACCCCCACGCCTTCTCCTCCGCTGTTGCCAAATGCACTTTGTCCCCAAGGGGACAGGGGTAATTAACGAAAAAAAGGCAAGACTTCTTTAAAGAAGAACTATGGGGTTAAGTCTTTTCCCCATAGTTCTCCTTAGGGTAACGGGAGGACACAAACTAGCGTCCTCCCGTCACCCTAGGCTCAGTATACCGCTGTAGCTCGCGGTATACTGAGACGCCGCAGCTGAAGCGGATCCCGACAATTGTGCCGGGATCCGCCCAGCTGCGTGACTGACAGCTGGCTCTGCCTATCTAAAGGCAGAGCCAGCTGTACCCGCCCCCAAAAAAAAACTTTTAAAGCGTCGCCTAGGGCCAATTTTGGGTATTATCGTTTTTTGAGGTTTCGCGCGCGCACGCAATTTTAAGGCTTGACATGTTTAGTGTCTTTTTACCCGACGTGACCCCATCTTTTATATTTTACCAAAAAATTGGGTAATAATAAATGTTTTATCATTTAATATAGGGGAAACTGTTTTTTTTTTTAAATTTCGGTAATTTTTCCTTAATATAGTAAAAAAATAAAACCCCCAGTGGTGAATAAATACCACCAAAAGAAAGCTCTATCTGTCCCCAAAAAAGGGTATAAAATTCATTTCAGTACAGCGCTGCATGACGGAATAAATGTCAGTCAAAGTACCGCAGCGCTGAATACTGAAAAATGGCCTGGATGGGAAGGGGGTTTAACACCGCGGATGTCAACTGGTTAAATATCCACCACCACGTCAGCTGTCATTGTTCCTCAGAGGCAGGCTTGAGAATGTCAGGAAGAGCAATTGAAATGTATGTAACAGCCCAACCCAACATTTGCAATGCAGTGTCCAAGGAACACAGGCGTCTTAGCTGTGAAAGCCTAGTGACTGTGGCCTGTGGGCGGAGAGGGCACTTGGCTGTTTGTTAATAATGTGCATAGATTGCTCATGTGAGCCTATCTTTACTGTGTAACCAACATGCAGCGAGCACTCTGAACAAAAACCACAGTAACCCCACATAAAATACCTGTGTGTACACATACCCTTTACCCTCATATCTTTTTGGGGATTTTGAGAATATTAGCCTTTAGCAGATCACGGACATAATATTGGCCATCTCCAATAGATGCTGATGGAAGAGCACATAACTCAGTCAGTTTATCACAACCATACATATTCTACATGCTGCAGATCGGCCTTTGATAAGAGTCTCCAGTTCCTGCTTAGTTGCATTGGGCTCATTGGATCTTAAAGAGACCCTGTCGCCAGCCATTAGATTCACCAAAACCTTCCTATAGGATTATATGTAAATTTAATGTATATTATGCATGTTATTTACCTGTAAAAGCTTCCCTTATGTAGACATCCAGAAGCCCTAAAACCACAGCTGAAGGCCACCATCTTAATTGTGATGTCAGCAGCCCCGACAGACTCATAGCTGTCACTCAAGTCACACCCAATAGTATTCTCCTTTGCTCCTCCCCCAGCAGCTACATAAAAGGTTAGGTAGGGATGTGAAGGGAGGGGCGGAGGAGCTGAGTCAGCTCAGGCAGTAATTAGACCCTCCCAAAAGAGGAGAGGCCTATGACCTGCAAGGAGGGAGGGGGCTGGGCTAGGGAATTGACTCTTCCCAGAGTAGTCAAATTTTCTAGCAAGTCTAGAGGCACATTGCAAGTAGATAAAAACATTTATGGAAAGGAAAAACACTTCAAGTAAGCATTTAAAGTACTTTATTTGTCTGTACTTTCACCTGCAACGTTCTCAAGTTGGAGGTGGGGTTTCTTTTAAAGTAGCTGGCAAACTAAAACTAGATGCAGGTCATTCAGCCCTGCAGGGATAGTCATGATCCGCTATCCAAAATAAAAAAAAATATTGCTCCAAATACCTAAAATAAATGTTTTTTGGTTTTTTGAAGGGTCACATGACTACTAAGACATTGCAACGGCTTCTTCCTACCTGGGCTCTAAAGACACCCGATCGCTTGTATTAGCCGTTGTCACTGCCGTTGCCGGTCACGAGATCCGCTGTGCCCGGTGCAGCCGGGACCGGCACGGCTGCTCTGTGACAAGAGATCAAAGGGAGATCGGTACACATCTCCCTCTGATCTCCTCTCCAGTCCCCGAATGCAGGAAGTGATGTATGTTACATCACTTCTGAATTCCGCTGTCACTTTCCAGCTGGAGAAGCTGGTAAAGCAGATCTCTGCTTCATCAGCTTCTCTGGGGGTCCCTACGTGACAGGGGTCTTGGAGACCCCTAATGTCTTCATAAAGAGGACCTGCCATGTAAATTGGCTATCACATAGGGGTTTTTTTTAGCCCCTTATGTGATATCAATAAAGTTAAGTGGGGAAAAAAAAAAGAATAAAAAAAACTACATTTTTTTAAGTCCCCTGCCCCCCACATGCAAACATGCGCCCGGTGCCCCTACGTGCGAAAACAACGATCGCGCCTATTGTGCCGCACATGTTACATATCACCGCGAACGCCAGAGTGAAATTAATCACTGCCATCACGGGCCATTAATCACCGATAATACTAAACTGACGAGCAATAAAAGCGTTTAAAAGCACTGCCTATGGCCAATTTTCTATGTGGTAGTATTTTGCAATTTTGCAGGTGCGTGCAATTTTAGGGCTTGACATGTTTGGTGTCAATTTACCCGATGTGACCCTGTCTTTTATATTTTACCAAAAAATATGGGTAAGAATAAATGTTTTATAACATAACGTAGGGAAAACATTTTTTTTCAAAATTTACAGTACTTTTTTCATTAGATAGTAAAAAATAACCCCACCCCCCTTCCCAGTGGGGATTAAATACCTCCATAAGAAAGCTCTATCTGTCCCCAAAAAATGTTAACATAAATTGCAAGGCTATAGTCCGGTCATACTGACTGGTGACATTTTTGACTGACTGGTGAGTCACCCTAACATTTTTCAAGTTCTGAAAATGAACCAAAGTGAAGCTGAGAAGAGGGAAGAGGCTACAGTGACCTCATGATGTTGGCCCCACCACCGTCATAAAGGTGTTGTCAGATGGGTGCCAGTGCTGACAACTCCTGGCCTGGTACAATGGTGACGGGACCAATGTCAACATGCTACTGCTGAGTACAGTGGAGAGGTTGACTACCCTGCTGTTAACTCAGCAGCTGTATTATAGTGTTGTCGTCCCTCCGCAGAAGATGAGATCATAGCAGAATCATCAGTTTTAACGGCTAAAAACATTAGAAGCAAAAGGAATTATTACAATTAATATTTAATAAATGTGAAAGTGATAGCCGGATCTTTTATTAATGAACATTTCGTTTTTCTGGCATTACAATTAGCCATGATAAGGTTAAATATAAAAAATAATAAATATTATTTGTTTCTATTGCACATATTAAATATATTCCTCCCTAATAGTTAAGTATGCATATCATTTACACGCAATCAATGCATGCCTTGTCCATAAATCTTTCATAAGCGCTGTCTGGATTCCTCTATACTAAGGCAGATTCAGACATTTGTTATGAATATGATTGGCTGCTGCAAGGGGAACACAGCCAGTTCTTATGAAAGACACTTTGATAGAAGTTGGTCGGCCTCCAGGGACATCATGTTGATCTTCGTTTCTTAGTGTCTTTGGCATTGCTCACAGTGGCCAAGCACATATATTCATATGACAGTTGTAACCAGAATGTCTGCAGTTGGTTGGGGGAGGCAGTACAGCCAGCACCTTCTTACAGACTAACTCCATAACTGGCAAACTCAAGACCTGTATCAGTGGGCTTTTGCTTGCTTCAAATGGCATTCCCTGCATATGACCTGCAGTCAGGGCCGGATTTACTCTCTCTGCCACCCCAAGGCCAGGTTCCTTTAAGGCGACATCACAGAGATCACTTGTACAAAACAAGTGGCAGCTTCCCCGCTGTACATTTAGCTCTGCTTGCCCAAAGCAGGGCTAAATGTACAAAACAACTACCTGCCCGCCACCCGGAACTGCATGTCCCGGGCATCAGGAGATAGGAATTCTACACCCCTGCTGCCCCTCTACTCCTTACTGCCTCGAGGCCGGGCCTTGGTTGGCCTTCTGGGAAATCCGGCTCTGCCTGCAGTTGTCCTCCTTCTGACCTGAATTTGACCTGCTTCATCAGATTTTGCATCCCCATAGACTTTTTATGGGAATGCAAACCCTGATGAAGCAGGTCAAATTCAGGTCAGAAGGAGGACAACTGCAGGTCAGAAGGTCGTATGTACCTGGCAATGAATTCTGAATTGAGCTTAGAAGCTTCACAAACTACAACATCAACACAAGCCCAAAGCCTGTCAACACTGGTCCTAAATCATCTTCTGATTCCATCCATCTCTTAAAGGCTCCAGAGCTGAGATATCCTCACCAGATCTGCCCCGCTGCTGCAGCTAGATAATGGTTTAAGTATCCTTAGTAAAGTTCCCAAAACATAGAGTAAATGAATCATTTTGGAGTCCTGTTGTGAAGCAGTGACATCTTCATCATGACCTTGTGGGTTGGATGGAGGCCCACATAGATGCAGGGGTGTCCCATCTGGAGATATGAGGAGCTGGTACATGAGTCAAGTCCCGGATGACTTCTTCAAACCAAAGAGCAGTTTTTGATGCAGTTGGTCTTAAGACATCTTTATAAAAGAGCCCCAGAGTGTTCTGTATTCGTATTCAGCTTCATCCACCAAGCATGTCACAAGTTCCTGAGCAGATCAATAAGCTGCATCCTCAAGAATGTTAGTTCAGAACATGAAATGGCCTCTTCTTCTGTTTAGTGGTGACAGGTACCCTTTAACGATACATTTTATGGTCCCTGATGTCTCTGAAGACATCTCAGTGGTTTAAAGTGGTTACAAAGTCCGAAGTCTCTAGTATCATTACATTCGAATGCCTGTGTGTTGTTCTATCCAGTCTAGGTATCGCGTCACTTTGGTGTAAACGCCAGGTTTTCCCTTTCGCCCGCATCCTTCACCCCAGCTAATAATGCCAAACAGATGCATGCGGTCATTCATGAGACAGACCAGGGGTCCTCCAGAGTCACCCTGCAGGAAAGAAGATGAAGTACATCAGTACATAAAGGAAGACAGTACAGTTACAGCACAATTCAAGATAAGAGAGTTGGGAGTGATCTGCTCGCAAGAGCTTACAATCTAAAAGGGAAGGACAACTGGGAAGAGTGAGAGAAGGGTGTCATGGTGTCACCCTCTAAGCACAGTGCCCTGCACTCACGTTGTATTGATGCAGGAAGCGGTGCTGATATCATTGCGTCAGCACCCTCTGTTTGCATCATCCAGGATCCACCAACATCATGTGACTGGCCATAAAGCATCAAAAAAGTGTAAGTGGAAAAAAAAGCATAATGTACTGCTGGGGGACCTCAAGAGGGTCCTCTAGTGGGAGGGGGAGTAGCAATGAGCCCGGTTATGGGCTTTAGGCTGGGTTCACACCATGTTCAGCATTCCAGACCAGACAAAATGAGACATGCAGTATTTTTCTGGTCTGGTCTGGAACGGACTGCGCTGGTGGGAATAGAGGCCGGAAATAGCATAGGGATACATTAGGATGCATTTTGGGTCCGGAAATAGTCTGGTCTGGTCTGGAGGTAATCTGGATGTTGGTGTGAATGGGCCCATAAGACATGATTAATATTGAAAAAGGAAAAAAAAAAAATAGCACTGCGCTTCAAACTCAAAAATTATATTCCTAAAATGTGAAAAAAATCGTGAAATTGCCACAAAGTGATACACAATTTTGTTTAATATTTTTATATTTAATATTGAGTTACCTGGCAGGCATCATCTTGGTGTCTTGTGTCGCCAGCGCACAGCATGTTGGAAGTCACTGTTCGATCAGCGAGTTGCTTGGGGGTGCACATGCTATCGGGGTATAATCTGACGTGTCCTTCTTTCAGATGATCAGAGTAGAACGGAGAAACTAAAATGAAAAAGAAAAGGGATGGTTAAAGTCGGACTTTGTAATGCCTCCAGCATCTAAGCCACCTTGCCCCTAATTCCATATTTTCCCCCAAATGGAGTTTAGCAAGAAGAGGTGGCAAGGCTTAATCCCAACAAGGGTTCAAATGGAAAAAGCCGAATAACCACCAATTTTTTTTTCTTTCCTTCATATTGCTTTATTGCAACGTGAGCACATTCACAGGACCAAGACAAAGTGCATAGCTCTCAGACAGACCCTGCTCCTTCACCTCTATGACTAAGACCCTGTTGGGCTGAAACACATCAGAGGAGGAGCAGGATCTGGCGAAGAGCGAGGTGCTTTGAAGACGTGTCTTATGTGGCAAAGAGCTCTTTGAAGGCAAGAAAAAAAAAGATGTGGTAGATGAGCAGCTTTTTGCATTTGAACTCAGTACGTTGGAGGAGAACGGACCTCATTTTTAATTCGGTTCCAGCTCACTTTAAATTGTCCTGTTAAAATAGCATTTGTAAGTCATGTTTCTAGCTTGAGGCAAAAAAATCACATTGCCTGAAAAGTTTACTGGTTTCAATGATATGTCCATATGATAAAAATGTCTGGTTCCTTACTCTCTTCCTGCTTTCCGTATCCGGAGATCTCACATTCTGTCCAGTCTGCTAGCGTTTGTCCCTTCTCAGGCATACAGGCCGGCCTGGCAGTGTCTGTCTCCATGGCACATGATCCAGATGTAGACTGCAACTTCAGAAGAGCTACAAGAGATGAAGAGCCCAGATGAAACTGGAGAATGGTATACCAATGGGGGGGTGGTGGGGGAGGGGGGCTTTGGGGTAGATGTCTATTTGCAGATTACAAAAGTTGTGAATACCCTCTTCTATTTGAGAACCTTTCAACCTCCTCTAGAAAAACATTCCTATGCTGGGCCAAAATTAGCCAAAAAAGGTAGATGAGGAACATCTGAAAAAGCTAATAATGAATGTAGATACTGTATGTAGATTTCTTGACAGGCCATCTGACAGCCGGGCATTCTGCCCGGGCGTTTGGACTATTCTGTGATGCACTGCATGCTAAGGACGCATTAGGCTGAAGGATAGGTGGAACCTGCCAAGGCTTTAAGCAGCTTGTCTCCTCTATTGTTCTTAGATAGATGTATTCTGTAATGTTGAGGACATTTCAAAGCTTATCCAAGCCACTCCTTCAGTTCCAATGAGTGTCAGGAAAATACCCCATTATATCCACATAGGTAGCACAGACACCTTAATCAAATCACCACGCATAGTGTAGATGTTGATTGTCCAAGAACAGGATGGGAGGTATGAATCTTGTGGAATCACCATGTTCTAGTTGCATAACCCCATCCTTGGTGTCAGGAAATCTGTATAGAGGTTAATTCCTTAAATTACATGGCTAAAGTTGTGAGTTTTTATCAAATTTCAGAGGTTGGGATGTTAAAACAACATTTTACGTGGAAGACAGATGGTGCCAAAGAACCAGCCCTATACAGAGACAGTTGTTCCAGTTTAACATAAATATATTCGGCATATAATGCAATTTTAACATCTCTTTCCTGGCAACCTGACAACCATTCACACCATTAGCCGTGTTAATTGAAGAATTAACACCTACGCAGACTTCCTAAAACCGAGGATGGGATTATGTAACTAGAACAGGGGGTCCATCCAGGACCGGATTTACTCTCTCTGCTGCCCCAAGGCCAGGCTCCTCAATGCAAGGCCAGGTTCCCCAATGCAAGGCCAGGTTCCTCAATGCAAGGCCAGGTTGCAAAAAAACTGCATGTCCCGGGCGTCGGGTGATAGGAATTCCACACTCCTGCTGCCCCTCTATTCCCTGCTGCCCCGAGGCTGGGCCTCGGTGGCCTTGTGGGAAATCCGGCCCTGGGTCCATCACTTTCAAACCTCCCATCCTGTTCGTGGACAATTATCACCCACTCATTCCATGGTGATTGTATTAAGGTGTCTGTACTACCTGTGTGCATATAAATGCTGGGGTTTATTCCTGACCCTCATTGGTACTGAAAAAGTGACTTCGAGAGGTTACAAAGCACCTTCAACATTACAGGACACATTCGGTGGAATGTGACAAACTATGACTAGCTATACAATGACCTGGATAACTGAGAACCTTCACAGACCTGTGCTTTAGAGAGCAGAGGAGGTTTCCTTACTTCAACAATACTCTATAGTCTAATGTGGCATCATGCTAAGCCCTCCTTACCATCTTGTCTTGAATTGTATTGTGATTGTAATGTCTTCCTTATATTGTAAAGCGCTGCGCAAACTGTTGGCGCTATATAAATCCTGTATAATAATAATAATAAGACTCAGTAGTAACAGCATGCTCGTTCTTGGGTATTTGACAAGGACCCAACATGACCCAGGGGTTCCAAGAGTATAAGGAAGCACTGTTTGCCATATACTGGCACTTTTAGGTTGACTATCTTCACTGCCAAATATTCTTTCTGATTGGACACTGCCATACTGCCACCAATACTCAGAAGATGCAGCAAGTTTGTTTCAGGGACTTCAGTCTAATGATCTAGCTAGTCACATGACTTCAGCCTCAATCACCCGGATGTGGTTCCTCTCTAGTGAAATACCAGGCTAAATGTTGTCTCGGCAAAAAAAAAAAAGAAAACCAATAGGGCATTTGTAAAGAACACTCGGGTTGAACTTCAGGAAGCTCAGGTTTCTTTTAATGAATGCACCAAAATCGCCCAGTTTTCAGCTTGTGGAAGTTAGTAAGTAACAATGTGAATTGTACTAGAGTAGGTTACTATGGTTCAAAAATAAAAGGGACTTTGTGACTTGTCATGATGAAACACCCCACAACTAGCAGTTTGTTTTAACTTATAGTCCACATACTAGTTCCAGGGAAGTTACTCATTTGACAGGTTTAGCCATCCTGCCCCAGAACGAGCATGTAACACATGGCTTTGCTTCATGAAACATTGTTAACATCCTAAACATGTTTACTCACCAATGTCATTATCAAAGGTGTCCTCGTCAAACTGTGGGTGCTTATAAATTCTTTCCACTCTGAAACTTTGTTCCTGACTTCCAGGCACAGCACGCATTGCCCGGCCCAGCTTGACACGGATCTTGTTGGCAGTCAACCTGAGAAGAAGCAGAGGCTTCATAGTAACGGGCCTAATGATATTTGGTTTAGTAGTTGAAAGATTAAACTTATTACTCACTTGTCACTTAGGAGGCAATGAGCGGCTGTCAGCACCCAGCAGCGGTCTATCAGGGTCCCCCCACAGAAGAAGTGCTCTGATCCCCTATAAACCTGGAAGAGAGACGCCATCCATGGATGAGATGTAATCTGTGCTCCTCGGCCTCCAGCAATACGGAATCGGGGCTGTAATTGTGGCCGGGGGATTCGAATTCCACAGGTGGCTGAGGAAGAAATTAATATCAAGATTCAGATTAGGTTGTGTGGACTGAACTAACAATAGAACATTGTTTCCCTCTATATTCCCTCTATATCTATATGCTATATTGGTTTGATAACTGGCCTGGAGGGCAACCATGAAGGTCTCACGTCATATAAGCTCCATATTTGCGGTAATGTGAATATAGGAAAGAATGCAGTGATTACAAGCTATGATGTGCCCAAGGCTTTATACTTCTTCAATGACTGTGGTATTTCCAGTCCCGGAAAACTATGTGATGTTTTTACATTTATTGTTAATATGGGCCACTGGCATCAATGAAAGTATGTGCAGCTCATTCTCTGTGCCACCCCTCAACTGTGAAATCAGGAGTGACCAAGGGGGTATTTGGCCCCTAGCTGGTCTATTTCTAACTCTATCAATGATGCTCTTCCAGCTGAATGGAAGCAAATGCCACCAGCAACTCAACATCTAGAGGTTACACAACTTTGACTGGTCTATGAGTCAGTGGCATAATGATTAGCGCTTCTGCCTTACGGCATTGGGCGTCCCTAGTTCAAATCCTGGCCAGGTCACTATCTGCAAGTGGTTTGCATGTTCTCCCCCCGTGCTTGTATGGGCTTCCTCCGGATACTCTTGTTTCCTTCCACACTCCAAAGACATGCTGGAAGGTTAATTGGCTCCTGTCCAAATTGGTCTATGTATGCAGGTGACATAGGGACCTTAGATTGTAAGCTCCTTGAGGGCCGGGACTAATGTGACTGTGCTGTGTAAATTGTCGGCGCTGTATAAATATATATGGTCACTCTTTTAATATTCTGTAACTTTTTTATACTCTAGTGTTACTTACAGCATTTAGGGACATCACAGAACTCCCAGCCAGCCTGAGTTCCATTCATCACATGACACCAAGGACGCACATCATTATCTGGATTCCTGTACCATATAAAAGAGATCATACTTCAATACAGACAGAACAGCTGCCAATCTAACATTGCCTAAATGTATAACACAAATCAAGCATAAATAGTGCAGCTTCACTGGTGCAACTACAATTTACCGGTAGGTTAAAAGTTTGAGATTGGGTTGCCAGGTGAAAAGTAAACACAGCATGAGTACATAGGTAGCCCTGGGGCTGCATATCATAGGGAAAGGCAATAGTTCTCCTCCAAGAACTTGGAGCCAGTAGTATCTGAGGGCACTCACACACAGAAGAACCTTGGTTGTGGAAGGACAATGAGGTGGTGGCACAATAAAGTGTGAACATTCAGTGGTTGCCTGAGAGCACAGCTGGTCTTCTACTAGCATTACCTCTGTCCTGTGTAATATAGCGTACAAAATGGAAAATGGCATAATACAACGCGGTACTGTAAAGTGATATTGAGGTGGTCCAAAAACGCTGTATTGCAACCACAATTCCTGGTTTTGGAGATCTGTCCATAGACAGTTTTGTCCAAGAAGATGTCCTTGGCTTCAGAACTGTCATAAGTTATTGTTTTCTTGCGGGGTCATTCATCTTCATTTAGGAGCAGTATGCAGAGTAACCATATTTCAATCAGTATACTGCCAGTCAGGACCCACCTACAACATGCGGGACTCACCTGCAGTAGTTATGGCTGCCCAAACCCTGGCTGCGGGATTTACCACTCCAGGCACTAAAGACTTTGCTCTTCACCAGGGGAGAGTCCCACCGTAAACAACTGGCACCAGAGATGGCGACACTGTGAGAGCCTCGATATGAAGTTCCTCGCTCTGGATAACAGTCTGGGGTGGCTGTTCAGGATAAACAATGTACAAAGCACATTATCAGCATTGCATATTACACCAAGGAGTTCAATGCAACATACAGTATTTATATCAAGAAGCTGTTGAACCTGTGCAGAATGTTTTAAGGTACTGTTGGATTGTTAGACATGTATTTCATGGTGGAACAACCTCCGCACTGGGTGGAGGGACTAAGGGTAGTAAATAGCAAGGCACATATTGGTGACCTATACCTCTGGTTCATGAATGTTAAGGTTAAACATAACGTACAAAAACATTCCAATCTTGGCATACACAGATTCCAAGTTTAGGAGGTAAAGAATGGGAAGATTGCCTGGGGACCACTTGTTCTTCGTCGTTGATATCGCCACACACCAAACCCAATGGTGAGGTAAGACTGTACTTCCTTTTCATACTTTTGCACAGATTCTGACCACCCTGTATTTTTCTTTCCTCCATGCCGAGTCTGACGCGTCATCAACTTCCCAAGGATACGCATCTGCCCATTGAACACCCGCCTGTCACCACGACCAGATCTCACGACAACATCACCATGAGATCACCCCCATTGTGCCCATCCATTCCATCACATGTGAGTGGCTAATTTCCATTCCCACTTCCTTTTACCTCGATTTACTTTCATTCGCTTGTTAATCTCCATCCACACGGTCTGCGCCAGCTTGTTGTGCTCCCTCCTTTTTTCCGTTCAGTATCATACAGTTAGACACCTGGGTCTAATAACATAAGGAGCCACACAACGGCCACGACACCCCCCCAGGAGTGCGCTAACTAGCAAATTCAAGTCTTCATCCTGCACCAAGCATATCCAGTGCAATAGACTGGCTACATTTTCTCAAAATACATCCTGTTGACCCAATTTCAGGCCCTGAAAGCTTCCATTATTCACCTGATCTGGGCCTGCCCCATCATCAATAAATCTTGGCAACCTCAAATTTATCTATGACAAGATGGACAGGCCTGCACATTAGGCTAATTAGATAAGCTCCAAGATACAACACCTGAGTGAACTTTACTACATGAACTACTTCTTCAGGTTTGAAAAGTATTGGTGCTTCATTGGATGTCAAGCATCACCTCTCATCTATGGATGGGGTCGATTAACACGTTACCATTTAGGAAATTGGTATATACACATAGGGAATGACCCACTATATTAGCAAAATTATTGAACGTTTGGTTGGAAAATACCCTAACCATAACCTAACCCATTACCATTGGCCGGACTCGCTGCTCATTAAGACACTACCTTTTTTTCCTAGCACCCTTTTGGGTTTGAGAGCAATGTATGGTCTCCATGTGCTTCCTCCCCGCCCCACCCCACCCTTCATCAACTTGAGGTACAAGTGAAAAAAATGTAGTATTTTAAATGATTACATACAGCATACAGTTTCCTTTCCATAAACAATGTTTTACTGACTTGCAATGTGCTTCTGAAATTGCAAGGGAACTGACTCTCCATAAAGTGACCAATTCCCTAGCAAAGCCCCTTCCCTCTTTGCATGTCATAGCCCCCACCTCTTCTGGGAGTGCCTTATTACTGTCTGTGCTGGTCCAGCTTCACCTCCCTACAAAACCTTTTATGTAGCCATTGGGGGAGGGAAACATTTGAGTGAGTCTGCTGGGCCTTCTGACATCAGATGGCAGCGCCAACCAGTCTCAGGGCTTTTGGATGTCTATACAAAGTAAGCTTTTACAGGTTGATAAGATGCAAAAATGTATTAAATGCACATATAATATAATAGGAAGATTTGTGTTGAAATGAATGCTCCAGCAACAGTCTCTTTAATATCAGTCCCTGGAAATCTAGATAATTAAGATACGTACCCTTTGTGCAGGCTGCCACACTGCAGTGTTCCCAGTTGTACTTCCCATCTTTGAATATATAACACCAGGGAGAGACATCACCATCAGGGTTCCTACAAAATAAAAAAGATTAATTCAATATATTGTATATACCAATCAGCTCATCCGATATATTGACTACATAGCCAGCAAAACTGCTCTTTCAGGTACATGAATGCCAGCAATATGCTACCAATGAGAACCTCTGCCATGGTATGGTGAACATCTCAAGCAGATGGATAACAGAGGACTTCCATGAGAACGAGCTGCTCCCTTACAGTTTCTGCAACACCATTGGGCTTTATCAGTAAGAATGTTAAAACGGCAATGATAGAAAGTGTGGGGGGCCTCAACTGCGACCCCTGACAGCTGCACATAATAGTCACTATATGAAAGATGACTATCAGAGGCTTCAGACATACCAGAGGAGACGTTCAGAGACAGCAGACATGGTGGTGGGTTGGTTGCAGATACCCTTTAGGACAGTGGTTCTCAACCCGTGTAACCTCAGGACCCACATTTGTCCTTAGTCATTAAGTCGCGACCCAAGTCGCACTGCAGTGGACTGCACAGCATTGCGGTACGGCGCGCTCCAGTGCGGGCAATTGAACTGTGGGCGGGAGGGGCATTTGGGGTACCATTCAAATGAATGGCAATGCAACATACCTCCCACACCAGAACGCGTAGTAGGTGCGATTGCGTGGTACAGTGCATTTAGCTGGTCCAGGCACCTCTACAGGACACATGAGGGAGCTGTAAGCAATGCACGTATGGATGGAGCTCCCTTGTGGCCATAGCTCCATCCCACCCCACTTCAAGCTGACACTCGAAGCTGGGCAGCATATTCTGAATGGCTGCTTGGCGACTGACAGTGCTCCACTAGGGGAGGCTGAGAAGCCTCTCACCTAGAAAAGTGTAAGGCACGTGGTGACCCACTGAACATGGGGTCACAACCCACTTTTGGGTCACAACCACCAGTTGAGAACCAAGGCTTTAGGACATAATAGACTGGGGGCATGCTACATAAGACTGCTAGATATTAATGACATTACAGTCTCCACTACTGACTGCTGGGGTCTGCAATGGGCCGCAGAGTAAGTACCAGGGCCCTGCAGGTTGGGCACCAGGGTCCTACTGACTAACAGAAAAATATCTGTGTTTAATAGAATAATAAGTAAAAGCTAGCATGTAAAAATAAGGATAAGTAGGCTCCATCATATTACAGAGCTCATCAAGCATAGGCCTAGGTGCATGCGGCTTTGAATTCCCCAGGGGCATCCCTAGGGTTATATATAGTAGGTCAGGTCCCATACACTTCCACAGACAGTACACATTTCAACCATCTCTTACTACAAACTGTATATCCTGCTGGTTACCTGCAGAAGTTGTGATTCCCCAGTCCTAGTTGTAAAGCGTCTCTGTTCTGTGCGATGAATCTCTTCCCACTGAGCGCTGGAGAGTTCCAATTCACACAAACTGCTCCGCTCACTGTGCGGGTGTGATTTCCTCTGTACGACTGCCCTGAGCCCTCGTAACAGGTAGCCCGAGTGTCTGCAGAAAGAGACAGAGACAGTGAGCGAGACTTGTGACATGCACCGTGAGCACCATTCATCAACAATGCATGAATGTTATCGCAATGTACAGATCCTTGGCATCCTTCCGCCATGCACAGAGTTCATTTTTAGTACAGTATATAGAGATGGTGCATAGAGATACTCTGCATTAGGGATGTGCTTGGGTTTGGGCCAAACTTGAGTTCATCTGGACCCAGGAAGGAAGCTGTCAATGCCGGCCCAAACAGTTGTAGCCGTGGCATTCCCCACCCCGTAGCTGCATGTAAACATGGAGGTGAGTTGCTGGGGACATCATTGACCTTATATGGACACAAATGCCATATTAAGCCAATTTCATTGACCAAATATGGCCATGTGGTCAAATAAGATCAATGATATCACCAGCATCCTGCCCCTTTCCTCATGCTAAGCTGCGGGGCGGGGAATGCCCCAGCCACAGTTGACTAGGTTGATGCTGACAGCTTCCTTCCAGGTTTGGATAAACTCAAGTTTGTACCAAACCCAAGCTAGCTCATCCCTATTCGGCATCATGCAGTGTTTATTATCGATGCGCAAAGCTTTTGATGGCGGTAGCATTCTATGGCATGGAGCTCCATACCTATTTCACAATGTTCTCCAGCGAATCCACCAAGACACAGGCAGAGATGGTGGGAGGAGTACACAGCCTGGCGACAGCGACCTCCATTGTAGCACTTTTGTTCTGCACAGTCTGTTGGGAAAGGTAACTTGTAGATTAATATTTTTTTGTTCCATTGAGCCACATTAAGTCAGTCTGACCAGCTCAGGGTGACCCTCTATAAGTCATGGCCACCATTCCTGCTTGGAGTAACCCATCAATGTTGCACAATGCCCCATAGCAACCAATAAGATTTCAGCGGCTGTAACTAGAATTGTTTTATGAAAGAAAGATGATTTGTTATTGGCTGCCATGGAAGATTGCCGTTCGCTATGTTGGAATACCCCTAAGCCTCTAATCATTGGCACTTGTGAAAGCTGCAGGTGTTTGGAACATTATTTCCTCCTGCCCTCACCTATATATGGCACACTATGACATCTGCTTCGGCCATCCTCACAGCGGCAGAACTCCACCCTCCGTCCTGCGGGACGGAGCCAGGTTTCATCACCCCTGAAGACTCTCCCTGACCTTTCAATGCACGAGGCTGAACGATGGGGAGGAAAAAAGGAAGTTCATTAGCTCAGCCTGCTTATACTTCCTCTGAGTGAGGAAATAGTAAAAACACATACAAAGCTAGAAAATTAAAGGGTTCACCTAGTTAACACTGCAGTGCAATCAATGTATCCCAGTAGGTTAGAAACCATTGTGCAGGGTACATAAATTCACCTTCCCCCCAAACTGCATATCTGTAGGCCAACCACGGCTTCTGCAATGCCCAGGTAAAAATGTTGCATTCTAGGTAATCAACGCCATCCTGTATATAAGGCAGGATGGAGGGTACACTGAACAGCTCAAAGCAATTGCGGCATTGCTACTTGGATGCTAGATAGCAGGAGTCGTCTGGAACCTATCAACCAAGGACACTCGGCGGCATCAGCCACCTGCGTCCTATCTACCAAGGGCACTAGGTGGCAGAAGCCGTCAGCATCCTAGCAACTATGGGTGCTAGGTAGCAAGTTGCAACTGCATCCTAGCAACCAAGGAGCCACCTGAATCCTAGCATCCAAAGACGCTAGGCAGCAGGAGCCACTGAGTCCTACCAACCAAGGCAGCTAGGTGGCAGGAGCTCTTTGCATTCTGTCAACTCTGGATGCTAGGTAGCAGAAGACATCCTAGCAACCCAGGACACTAGGGTTGCTAGATGGCAGGGGCCTATCAATAGTGTGTAAATTACACTTTGTCGATATTTGCATGTTGACCCTGAGCAGTGATGACAACCAAAAGGGTACTCTGCACTCTATGCATGTAAAGGTTAGCACAAACACTACATGCATACAGTGCACAGACAAGATTTTAGGATATTTTTGCCACCAAGGTTCTACGTGAAATCATACACCTCCACTGCAAATGGCATAAATCTGAATGGGGTAAGCAAGTTTTTAGGAAAAATTACTTTGCACAGGCTGGTTGGGATTTATTGTCGGTTTAATCACTGCACAGGCAAACTTTAAAGGCACAAAGGTGAACTATACCTTAGAAATGGCTGGTGACACATGTAACTGATGTGGGACCACCCACTATTGGCTAAGGAACATCGTGTGACTCATAGCTCTTTAATGATGCTGCTTGTGTCTGGCTCTCAGTATCTGTCTGCCTGAACCCTTGCTAAATTAAACCCTTCTCACGAGCCATGTATAGAAGACCTCCAACTGACTGGCTGCCAAGATATTATATTCACCATTGCAAGAATAATATCATTCTGTAATATATTATACATGGTTGATCCCCACACTCCCAATAAGCATAACATTCTCCTTACATCAGAATCCCACCTAAAAGTAATAACTGGTAAATAATTACATTTATATGACCTGGCCCCTCTCTTCTCTCGATGGTGAAGCACCTAGGTAAGAAGGCAGTTAAGTGTTAGTTGGTTCTAAACAAAGTGAATAAAGATATAAAACATGTCTGTATGGAGCATAAGGTATGAAGGTATAGGTATTCATTGTTTATATAAAATCTTTATTAAATGGATAAACACCCAAATACAAGGTGCATCCATGGCAAAGGTTTTCTAAAGAAGCAGAAGCTGTTTGATTTCAGACTGTCTCTCTCTAATTGCAACTGAGCAGTCTAAACTCAGGTGTAAATGTATCTATATTTTTATAATGCTTTTCTCTCTGAGTACTCCAAGCACTAATCAAATTGGTGTCAGGGGGGATAGAAGGCGAGTGTAAGAGACTTACGTGCAGATTTAATCGTGGCCAAAAGCGTGCACGCACACAAGCAAGGAAACCATTGCTGAAACTTCGCTTTAGCACATGAACGTGCTTGCATGGGAACATTTATACGCAATAGCGCACGCACGTGAGTGTACGGAAGCGCGCTTGTTAGCATACAGGTGCATGCTATCCTATATAAACAGACATGAAGCCACGACTAAGTTGCTGAGTGGCCTTCAGCTAGTCCCTTTGTGCCCTGTACTCTGTTCCTGTAGCCTGACATCCTGTGTATGAACCCGGCTGGTGACCAATTGACTCCGCCTCCTTCCTTCTGATTTGGTACCTCTGCTCTCTGATCTCCTGTGTATGACCCTGGCTTATATTTCCCGACCCTGCTCCTGATCTGTGATTTGGCACCTCAAGATTCGGCTCCCTCTATATGACCTCAGCTTGAACCTGACTTTCCTCCTGGTCTGCTACTTTGTGGATCGCTCCATCAGCATCCTGAGCAACTACATACTGCCAGTGCTTCGTTGGCCTCACGCCTGTTGCCTGCTCTGGTTTCAAGAGGTCCCGGTGTCATTCCGGTCCTGCTGATTCACCAGCTGGTCCGACGCACTCAAGCGCCTCCTCAAGAACCGGCCAGCCACCAGTACCAGCACCTGTGCTCCACTCTGTGGGACTGAGAGGTGCACGGGCAGCCCCCTTCTCAGCTGTGTCTCCAGTCAGGTACGTGATAGCAAGGAAGCCATCTTGGGCCTGCTCAATACAATATTATACTAGGGCCAATTTTAGACAGGAGCTTATTAGCCTAACAGCCTGTCTTTGGAGTGTAGGAGGAAACCCACTCCACCCAACAAATAATCTGAACCAAAGACCCCAGTGCTGCGAGGTTGACTGTTGATTTATGGATGGTTGCTATGGGTTACATTAATTAGGTCACCAATCAAACTATTAGATATATATGCTTACCTCTTGTGTTGCAGATACAACCTCAAAGAGGATGAGGGCCATGAAAATATTCATAGATCCGATCTTTAATGACATTTTAAACTGCAAGAAAAAGAAAAATATGACAGTGAAGATGTAATAGGACAAAACCCAGATAGTTTAAAGGGAACCATCATCAAAAACAAAGCCTTCCATAGCTGATGTCCTTATAAAATTCTGATCAAGCTGATCGCGTGGCTTCCAATTTTTATAATTGTTTTGACATTTTTGGCTATTTTTGCCGGGCTTTCTCATATCTGTAGAAGACATCAATGTCAATCAGTGCTGAGGTGGGTGATGTCTATGGGCTACCTTATCGCTCAAACAGTCATTAGTGTTTGAGCGATAAGGTAGCCAACCTTTTTAGCATGGAAAAGGTCTTGTCCAAACTTTTTAGCATGGAAAAAGGTTGGACAAGACCCAATAGAAAGTCTGAGGAAGAGTCAAAGCAGAGGTGACGAGGAAGCATGGAGCCGGCTTCATGGCCAATCAGGAAGCCGGGCGCCGCATCATTACACAGCACCGGGCTTCCTGCTTGGCCAGAAAGCCGGCTCCATGCTTTCTCGTCATCTAGTTAGCTTTCCTGCTTATCGGGAAGACGGGTGGTGAGTCGTTACACGCCGCCCAGCTTCCCGGCTGAGGTGGGTGATGTCCATGGGTTACCTTATCGCTCAAACAGTCATTAGTGTGGTCCACCATGGAAAAAGGTTGGACAAGACCCAATACATAGTCTGAGGAAGAGTCAAAGCAGAGGTGACGAGGAAGCATGGAGCCGGCTTCCTGGCCAATCAGGAAGCCAGGCGCCGCATCATTACACAGCACGTGCTTTCTGCTTGGCCAGAAAGCCGGCTCCATGCTTTCTCGTCATCTAGTTAGCTTTCCTGCTAATCAGGAAGACGGGTGGCGAGTCATTACACGTCGCCCACCTTCCCGGCTAATCAGGAAGCCAGGCGGCGAGTCATTACACGCCGTCTGGCTTCCTGAATGGGACTTCCGGTATCTGTATTCAATATCGGCAAGTACCGAAAAAAAATATCAGTACTCGTACTCAATACCGAAAAACCGGTATCGGTGCATCCCTATAAAATATAATTGATCATTCGATAAGGCGATAAGAGACTTGTAGAGCATTGTTCAAAATTTTGTTTTGGTTTTCACATTTGATTCTGGAATGAATGGAGTTACTCGAATGAAAACCACTTTCACTGTTAAAATTTCGTTCCATCAACAAAAATGTTTTCCATCCTGCTCCTTTGATTTTGTTCATTACTATGGTTGAAAGCGATCTGACCCCATTAGCTAAGCGAACGTTCCAAAACATTTGTTCTAAAGACATTCTGCTGGTCTATGACCCGCTTCCTGGCCACACATCAGTTATATAATGTATACCACTGTTACATTGTAACAATCACATCCTCCTCATCCAGCCCGTCCTGGATTGCTGGTTGAGTCTTCTAAGAGTCACACATAATAATGATCTGGCAATATTTCTGCATGAAAAAGACCAGATCGCCTCTTCCCGCTGTCAGCGCCATGACAGTCATCTCAGTCCTCCAGTATCAGACCAATAAAGTGACTCTATAATGAGTAAACTGTAACAGGATATAAACTGTAAATATAAGCTAGAAGTGTCAAAGGATTGTATGATGAAAGGAATACATTGACATGGATGTGTGTTGTATGTGTGTGTGTGTGTTGGGGGGGGGGTAAAGTGAGCGAAGCTTTTATGTTGTACAGAATGAACAATTCTGAGGAAGGCTTATAGAAGACATTCAAGCATTTTAGAAATTAACCCTTGCAGTGGGGCTTCCCTCGCACTGTAGGGGGTATCTACACGTTTTGGTCTAGGGTCTAAAAAAAAAATACTCACTTGATCCATGGTCCTGCCTGGCTGCTAGATCGCTCCCCGCAGCCTCTTTTCTTCTTAGCTCCAGCAGTCTATATACTGCTGACATCCTCATGTCCATTGACTTGCATTGGATGTGAGACACTACTGACACTACATAGTCAGAGCGGAGGGGGAGGGAGAGAGGTGAGCAGTCACTGCTGCAGGACCAAGGATCACGTGAGTATATCTTCTTTTAGGGCCCTGTCACTCGAAAGAGTGTGTTCCACTGCGTTAGTCCTTTGGAACGCACTGGAACGCAACACGGCTGGCTCACTTTGTTTTGAGTGAATTGAGTAAATCCAGCATTGGTTATGACTCCCGTGACACTTGCAGCTTCCATTGGCTTGCCTTTCACTACCAGGAGCTGAAGATAGGTAGTGAAGGTATTTGCATCTGGGGAGGTTCCAGCACCCATCAGAGCCACATCCAATGTAAACAAGCCAAAGTCCCAAAGGGCCCCTGGGCAAATGCACAGTCTGACCAAATGGTATGATCACCTCTGATGTAAAGAGAATGACCGATCAATATCGCCATAGTGTGAGCGTTCCAATTCAATACTTGAAGTATTGAAAAGAAGTCTAGAAAAAAATAACCTATCAGGCCCTCCATAGGGCTTTCCCTTCACTACCAGGTGCTAAAGATCGGTGGTGAGGGTATTTGCACCTGAGGAGACCTTCATTAAACTGAACCTGTTGCTACGCCCTACCTATCTTGGTCTAAGGCCCATCCATCGTACCTAAGCTTGATGGCGCAACAGCCCTGCTCACATAACTCTGTATAGGTTCCATGTGGTCAGAGTTGACTGTTGTGGGTTTGGGTGTGGATCCAATTAAACCTCGGATGAATCTCTGTGGATCATCAGATGACTCATAGGCTTATGCCGTGAAGCAGAGAAAAACATCACTCGGGGCCCAGTCGGACCCTCCAGATTTCCAGCGAATGCTCCACTTGGCTCAGTGCCAGCTCTGCTTGGGAGAAAGATGAAGTGACTTTAGATTTTCTTCCTCATGTCTCATCATCTCTTCTCCTTTCTCCTCACACACTCTGCGCTTTTCTTGTTTATATTTAATGCAACCACTTCCCGGCAGACGCTATACAGGAGATCTAATCGGACTGGTTTTGTCATCAATTGATGAATCCTGGAAGTATTTTTGGCTGTTTATCCCAAGCCCTTTCCATGTCCAGACAACATTTCACAATCCTGCTGATATGTGCTGGCCAGGCTATGTATAACCTTTAAACCACCTCCAGTTCCTGGATCAATATGACATCATAAAGACATTATATTTTCTTCGCAGCCATTTTATTTGGATTGTGGGGAATCTCACTTATTTAGGTTTGTATTTATTAGGAATTTTCACTCAACTACATACAGGAAAAAAGAAGTATTAAAAGTCAGTTGCGTGCATGGTGAAGAACAATGCAACCCATTGGCAGATGGAGGCACCAAAGGGCCCCAGTATAAGGCCAATTTTTTGGTCCTCATATGCAATCGATGGCTAACTAAAACACTTATTCACGTTGTAATGATTTGGAGCTAGATCGAAGTGAGCCATATACAGATGTATAAGAAGGTCCCAGCACCCATCAGGCCTACATGCAATATACACAGGCCAAGCCCCAAAGGGCTCTTGTGCAATTGCACAGTCTGACCAAATGGTTTGTTTACGGTGTTCCCTATGTTGGAGTATCTTAATATATACAAAACCCATCAGTCCCTACCTATTACTAAAATATCACTTCAGGGTAAGTTGACCCTTGGACCATTACCCTTGATGTGCCAAGGACTCCAATGGGTAGCTACAAAGAAATTGGCCTTCTACTGCTGGGGCTGTATCAACACTCGCAGTCTCTCAAGTGTATCTTCCAGAAAGGCCTCAGGACTTCATGGTGAGCACAGATCTTTCCAAGCTGTGCCTTGAATCTTATTTATTATAGATATTTATATAGTGCTGAGAATTTACACAGCACTTTACATTCACATCAGTCCCTGCCCTAGGAGCTTACAATCTAAGGTCCCTATCTCACCTTCATACCCCTACTAGGGCCAATTTAGACAGCCAAATAACCTGCCAGCATATGTTTGCCAGAGGTCCTGGAGGAAACCACACAAGCACAGGAAGAACATGCAAGTGGCACCATGACCAGGACTCAAACCTTGGTGCCCAGTGCTGCAAGGCTGGCTGCTAACCACTAAGCTACCTTACAGCCTCCTTTTAGCGGTGTTCCAAGTGCAGTCAGTGCTGATTGATGTGGATTAACTACTAACTCCTGTTGTATCCACCCAGGAGAGCTATTGTCTCTTTGGATGATGAATTCAGGGGCATTTGGTGCTCAGAAGCTCAGGCAGCCCTAGGTGCAACATGAAAAGTCTACATTGTATGGCTCAGACTTGGAGCAGGACATGCAACCTGCAGAGCCACTTGTTGGTGCAATTGTGTATCTTTTGCAGTCTGAAAAAAGCAGGAATTGATTGATCAACGTAGCAAAGACTAATCACTTAGAAAAGGGAAGGTTCCCTTAGCTTATTAAATAAAGCAAAGCAATGTTTACGTTGTACACCTAGCTGTGTGCAAGGGGATTAAAAACAGGATCCTGTTATTGATCTATGACTAGATAATTGAAGTGAGAACATCTACGCTTCATTTACTAAGCGAGGGGAACATTGATTTGCTAAGCAAACATCCTCTTACTCTAGTACAACAGCACCCATTGTAGATTGGAGATTTCACCAGCAGGTGGCGCTGTAGGTTACATGAACCCCAAATGACTTAATTACAAGAATATAGGGACCATGCACACAACAGGAGGATGAAGTGCAAATGCTGTTTATGATGGGCTGTGAAAGGATACAACTTCTAATACAACTATAAAATGAATATTAATATAATAGTTTAATTCATCCAAGACACAACACAATCATATCTAAACAATTAATGCAAATGCACAGAAGAAGCCTGAACTCTAGGCAGATATAAAACACTTTTTTTTAGTTATACATTCATTCATTCAAAAAAATATGTATCCCTACATATAACTATCATAAGTACCGAATCTGTTTGGGTATCAGCCGCGTGTGATCCCCTGTGACAGTTTATGGGAGAGGGAAGGGCAGCACTCCGAGCCTCTGTATTACCTAGCACTGTCATTCTTCGTACCTGAACCTGCTTA